GGTGGGACTTGAACCCACAACCTTTGGATCACTTCATCCAGTCTAGGAGTCCAATGCGCTATCCATTGCACCACAGAGCCATTGTACAAGTCAGTTGGGTCTCAATAACACTGGATATGCTCTTTTTGCTGAAGACGTGTGTAAGAATTTTAATTATGTTTGAGAATTGCAAAATGCTATGACTCTGGTGGGACTTGAACCCACAACCTTTGGATCACTTCATCCAGTCTAGGAGTCCAATGCGCTATCCATTGCGCCATTGTACAAGGCAATTGGGTCTCAATATGGCTGCATATGCTCTGTTTTCACTATGACGAAGAAAGATTGTAATATTAGTTGGTACAAATATTCAAAGTACCTTGACTCATATTTTTTGTCTGACTACAGTCTGTTCAATAAATGATGGTACAATTACCCATCTGTTGAAATAGGGTTTATTTTTTAGTTTGAGGAATGCATATAAGAACAACTCTGGTAGGACTCAAACCCACAACCTTTGAATTACTTTATCCTGTCTAGAAGTCCAATGCGCTATCCATTGCGCAAGTAAGGTGGGTCTCAGTAACACTGAATGTCCTCTGTTTGCTGAAGACGTGTGTAACAATAGTAATTATAATTTAGAAATGCATAATACTATGACTCTGGATGGACTCGAACCCACAACCTTTGAATTACTTTATGGTGTCTAGAAGTCCAATGCGCTATCCATTGCGCCACAGAGCCTTTGTAGAAGACAGCAGGGTCTTACTAAGGCTACATACTCTCTGTTTTCACTATGACTTGAAATATGGTCCTACTAGTTGGTACAAATATTCAAAATACCCTGTATTATATATTTTTTTATCTGACTACAGTCTCTTCAACAATTGACAGTACAATAATGTATCTTTTAAGATAGGGTTTATTTTTTAGTTTGAGGAATACATATATCAATGATTCTAGTTGGACTTGAACTGACAACCTCTGAATCACTTCATCTTCTCCAGAAGTCCAATGTGCTTTCCATTGTGCCACAGAGCCCTTAGTTACTGTTGTGTTTCAGTACCATGACAGACTTTCTTTTATTAGGTCAGTAGAATTAATGGAATTTCATGAATATGTGTGTGACAATTGAGGATTTTACTATATTGGAGAAAAGTGTAATGATATGCAATGATAGAACAGCAACACTGACCAGTTTATTTTTTTTCATCAAGGAATGAGAAACCATTTATACAGAGGTTGATAACAAGATAAGAGGAGCTACTGTAACTTTCAGTTTCAAATAAACACCACATTAACAAAATAAATACACTTCTGGGGTTTGTGGTTGTAATGATAAAAACAAACAACAAAAAGTCGAAAGGGTGTGAATACTTTTGGGAGCCACAATATTAACTTGCAGAAATACTCTCTGGCAGAGGCACCGACCTCTGAAGAAAAGGAGGTTAATGTGAGAAAAAAAACAAAGGTCGGATGGGTAGAAAGAGAAAAAAAGATGTGAGGATATACTTCTTTCTTACATCAGAAAAACTGGTAGAGCTAGGGCAGGTTAGCCATGCTGGGTTGCTACAATAAGGCCTCTTTCATACAGGTGTGTTGACGCCTGGGGCAGACTTGGCCCCAGTCCATTCTATTCACCTTGGCTGATTTAAACAATAACTATCATATCTCTTAAAGGAAAAAGGAGGGTAAAGCGTCAAGCAGGAGATGCCTAAGAGCTGTGTCGAGGCCAAGAAAAACCCCCGCTGACATTGTCAGAGCTTGTTGGTGCTGTGGTGAAGAA